ACTGGCCTGTAGTGATGCTGATGGGGGTGTATTATTTGCTGCATTTGTGGGACGCTGCTGAGCGCAATTGGCTGGCCAGGTTTCACCCATAAAATATACAGTCAATTCGTTTTACTGTGTATCCTGTGAAGCGCTTGAGACGTCTCGAAGACGTGATAAGGCGCCGTATCAAATGGAAGGGTTATTATTATTCTGTGCAGCCAGTTGAGATGTCTCAACAACCTGATAAGGTGCTTACATCAATTGCAAGGATTATTATTATATTATATTACTTGTAAACCCAGATTGTATTTTCCGTACCATTTGCAAAGGAATTGCCTTTCACTTCGCAATTAATGAAAAGCATTTATTGTTCATATGATTGCCAACCGATCCTTTGCATTGTTTGGTGTTAATCACATCCTTAAAGACTCCTTTAAATTCCTCTTTACACATGTTCTCCACGTGTTTTGGCAGGATATCGAACAGACCCCAGTTGTGTAAGAGTTGGGGCTTCCTGTTCATGTGCTCACTTGAATGGTGTCACGTTTGGGCGGCGGTGGTGATGCAATTGGAACAAAATAGAAAGTTGCTTTAAGTCAGCTTTAAAAGGAGTAATGATATACAAAATTACAAAGTCTTTCGGCCATTTCTATTCCAGTTTTAATGAGCGAGCAGAGGTAGTTTTGTTACCTTTTGGGACAAGTTATTTCGCTTGTTTAAGATGGAGAACAGCCAGTGAAACGTCAAGTTGCACAGCAGACCTGTTGATCTGTTTTGCTTTGGATGTCGAGGTGTTAGTGAACACAATTGCTGTGTGTTCAGTTTGTGCAAATGATTCTGTGTTGCCTGTACATCAACAGTAACAGAGAGGTCAAGACCGTTGAATATATCCTTCCAAGGCCTGTCTGAAATATATTGGAATTAATATTCATTATATATTTATTATATATTATATATTATATTATAATAGTAATCTCATACTGTTTATATTATAAATATAATATATGATAAATGTAAATACATATTTATTGAATATATAATATATTCAATTTGAATACATAATGAATATATTTTTCAAGACCCATCTCAACACTGTCCTCTTCGATCGTGCTTTCAGCCACCCTCCCACCTCCCCAACCCTCCAACTTTCTTGATCCTAACCCCCAGCTCGGATGCAAAACAGATCCAAAATAAATCAAGCAATTGAGGTGAACAGATCATCGGGTGAATTATTTCAAAGGACAATATTTGTGAGCATTTTATCGAGGTTTTCATGCACCAAATCCTCAAGCAAGCTCTATATATCAAGCTGAAGGCGAACCAGGAACTGAGCTAATAATAATGAATAATAATAATTATTATTATAATATCATTATTATTCCTCGTAATAATAATTAATAATTATTAATCCTCGTAATAATAATTAACCCTCCAACTTTCTTGATCCTAACACCCAGCTCGGATGCAAAATAGATCCAAAATATTTTGACATGCCTTTGACATAGCTCCTTATCACGTCTTTGAGAAAAGGCTTCTCTGAATATGCCGCAAAGTGAATTGACTGTACATTTTGTGGGTGAAACGTTCGATGAAACCTGTGTTTGAGAGGCGTTTGAAGATCCAAATGGTTGTTCGAATCCTGCACAACTGCTGTGGAGAGCGAGTGTGGAGTGCATTCAAGTCGGTAATAGTCGGAATTGGCTTTGTCACTAGAATGACTGGTACTGTGATGTCTGGCATCATCTATCAGCTCGTTGGGAGATGAATGCTTAAGTGCAGCCTTCTCCTGACTCACTGCTAATTTATATCTAGTTGAGCAGATTGACAGCTTATTTATTCTTATTCATCACTACCCGAAACTCCCTTCCCTCCTTCCCTCCCTCCCTCTCTGTTGCTTCTACAAATCTCTTTTCGTTTGGGGGGGGGGCGGAAAAAGAACACCTTCTCCTTCTGTGTCGTCCTCCGCGGTCGATTGTCGGATCGCTTTCCGGACGTAATAATCCCTTTTTAAAAATAAATAGATTAGTAATGATTTGGTGGCTCAATCCGCGGATGCTTGTGGAACGCCGCTGCCAATTGGCTGCCGAGTTTCACGCACAACATCCGCAGTCAATTCACTTGACAGTATGTCCTGTGAAGCGCTTTGAGACGCCTCGAAGACGTGATAAGACGCATTTTCAAACGCAAGGATTATTATTTTATTTTTATCAATCTTTAAGTGCGGTGCTTTCCGGACTCGCTGCGAGTTGAGCGGATTTATAACTTATGTATTTTTACTCATCAGTACCCAAACCCCATCCCCTCGTTCTCTGTTGGCTCCAACATTCCCTGTTTCTTTGGGGGAGAAAAATGATCCTTCTGTGCCGTCTTGTAATCAGCCCAACACACGCCTCCTCCCTGCAAGCTTTGTAAATCATCCTTTTTTGTTTCTTGATTATCTTGTGTGTGCGTGTGCTTTTTTTTTTCGCTTTACGCTTTTTTGGTGCTTTTTTCATTTGATTTGCTCCCCTGTATATGGCACGCGCTTGCTTTTTTTTTGTTAAGGGGTTTAGGTGGGACTGAGTGAGAGCGCACACGCCAATATCTCACTAAGTTCAGCATTCTCACCTCGTTAAGATTCGTTAGCGTAGCGACAGAGAAACCATTTCCTCTGGTGGGTGGGGGGGATCCAGAACAAGGACAGGGCATCATCTTAAAATTAGAACCGGGCGCCATTTAGGAGTGAAATCAGGAAGCACTTTATCACGCAAAGGCCAGTGGGAACTCTCTCCCACCACCAAAAGGCTGTGGATGTTGGATCCATTCACATTTTCGAGACTGAGGTGGATAGATTTTTGTGAGGTCAGGGTATCACGGGACATGGGGCAAAGGCGGGTAAATAGAGTTGAGGTACAGATCTGGCGTGGTCTAATAGAATGGCGGAACAGGCTCAACGGGCTGAATGGCCTACTCCTGTTCCTATGTTTTGAGGTTTGTATGGCTAACATTATTACTCTTTGAGGTCAGGTTGCCTGCTTTCACTGTTCCCCAAATTGAAAATAATAATCCTTGCGTTTGATATTCCACATGATCGCGTCATCGAGACGTCTCAAAGCACCTCACAACCTTTTTACTCTAAAGCGTGCGTTTCGTAGGCAAATGCGGCAGCCAATTTGCGCAAAGCAATGTCCCGCAAACAACCATGAAGTGAGCGACCAATTTTAGTTGGGGATCGTCGGCCGGGACAATCGGGAAACAGAAACTCCCTTGTCTTTTCGAATTGTACCATGGGATCTTTAACGTCCGCCTGAACAGGTTTAATATTTCATCTGAAGGACGGAGAGAGGGGGCGAGGTAACTGGATTTTCTGGAGGGAGGGGGCGAGGTAACTGGATTTTCAAACAGTGTTGAGAGTTGCGGAGATTTAGGTTGGGAAAGCAAACCAGAATACGCTTTCAGGATCAAATCGGGTGCTGATCATTGCAATTGGCGACTTTTTAATGGATTTTTTGTTTTCGTAATGGGAATCCCCTTTGCAAACCGGTAATGAAATTGTTGTTATTTTTCTAGTTAAAATAATAGTCATTTGGTCACTTCCATCCATGACTATTTGTGTGGGGACGCTGCTGTGCGCAATCGGCTGGCCCTGTTCGCCCACAAAAATGTACAGTCAATTCGCTTTACATTATATCCCGTGAGGCGCTTTGAGACGTCTCAAAGATGTGATAAGGCGCTGTATCAAACGCAAGGAATGTTGTTACTATTATTATTATTAACCAATGTATTATATTGAGGAATGACTCGAGCAACCCAAGTCTAGTGCCTGGAGAAGGAAGCTCAGGTGGCTGTTTTATAAATCGAGTTGATAGAATTTGGGAGGCGTTTGCATCAAATGAGAACGGAGTACTCGCAAGTCTTTCTGTTTTGTATGCAACGTGCATCCGTGGGTGCGGGGGCAGAGTGAGGAGGAGAGAGCGAGAGCGAAAGAGAGATAGGGAGAGAGGGAAGAACAGTTTGTTATAAACAGTGAGATTTTTTTTTTGAACGGTAGTGCATGTGCGTGGCACATTCAAGTGATGGTTCCCATGGCAATCAGCTGTTCACGAGCTTTGTTCCTGATGTATTGCTGCGTACGGGCAATACTCTGCTTTGCGAAGTGAATTCGGGTAACAGTTGCAGTGAAACACGTGTTTAGTTTGTGTTATATAACACTGGGGCGTTGGCTTCGAGACATCTTTATCGCCCCCTTTGCCAAATGAAATCGGCGTAAACTCGTCGCTGGGCTCTTGCGGACATCGAAACGGACCGAGATTTCAAACTGCCCGGCGCGAGGGGTGGGTGGGGTGTGGGGGTGGGTGTGGGGGGAGGACTCGAACCCACAATCTTCTGACTCGGGAGGCCAGATTGCTGCAGACCGAGCCAGGCTGACGTTCTTCGATTGCCAGTACTGCTCCACGCTTCCGTACCGGTTGTTCTGACGAAGAGACAGCACATAAAACACCGTCTTTTTCTCTCTCTCTCTCTCTCTTTCTATCTCTCTCTCTCTCGCTCTCTCTCTTTCTCTGAGACGCCACAGACCTGCTGAGTAGCAGTTTCAACCCAACTATCACAGGTGCAACGAGTTGGCTAATCCATTCCAGTGTGAAAAATAATCAATCTGGGGCGGCTTAACCTAAATATGAATCCAGTCGGATTCTGGAGACGCGTCACAGCCTTCTTCCTTCTGCTTCCCGACGAAGAGAGTGCAATTCTGCGAGCCTGACTCCTGCTCGTCCCCGCACTGATTACTTTTCCCATTTCAGTTGCCTTGTGACGCATTCAGCGTCCGATTCGGTTTAGAACCGCACAGGCTGAATAAATCGGGAGGCTTAGAAAGGCTGACGGACGGGCACTTCGCGCGTCGGGGTATCAAAGCGAATCGGGTTTCAAATAATATCTTGCCCCGGGATCTAATAAGATGGCCGTGCAGGCTCGATGGGCTGAATGACCTCCTCCTGATCCTTCTTTGCTGCTGACCGTTTTCTTTTGCGTTCCCCCAGTGCAGGAAAAGATCGCAAGAGAGCAAAGAAAAATATCCTGCAGAGGAGCTGGCCGTAGCTTGAAGACAACGGACCTGCGATGGTGAAATGTAACTCCTCAAAACTCGGGTGACCGGTCACCTCTTATTACCTCATCGATGTCGGGCAGAAACGGATCAGGAACAGAAACCACTGAGTCCGACTGTAAGTAGGATCTCCGTTGGGCCTTTTATTTCCATTTGGGGGCGGATACGAACGTTGGTTGTTGATTCGCATTTTCAATGCCGTTCCACTGACAATGGCGTTAAAAAAAAAAAAAAACTGTTTCACGCAGAGAGACACGACCCTACATATGAGGGCCGCTGTATCAATGCAAGTTGTCGTCGTTGTTCTGCGAGACTTTGTAGAGACTGTCTCAGACGCCGAGCAGGGGACAGGGCAGATGACCGTGGTCAGAGTTGACGAGGTAGGTTTTACGGTTGGACTTGAAGACAGACGGATAGAGAGAGGGGGCGAGGCAGAGGGATGGACAAAGGGAATTATGGACGTCGAAACTTAAAGGCTTAGCAACCTGTGGGTGGGGACATTTTGTTGTGGTGTCAAGAAGAAGGGGAGGGCTGCAAGTTAACTGATTGGATGGTGGGAGGGGGAGGAGGCGTGGGGCAGGGTTAGGGGGGGAGCGAGCAAGCAGAGGAGTTAGGATGGAGAACATCAGTGAGATGAAGTGCGAGGGTGTGAAGGGATCCATGGCTGGGAGATGGGGAGGCGGTTGAGTCTGGTGAGGACTGGAGTGAGGGCTGTGGAGTTTGCTGTGAGCGAGGACATGGAGTTTTGGATCGTGTCATCCCTGCGTCAGAGCAAAGCCAAGCACCGTTTTCCATTGATCGTGTCCCGAGATGTGCAGTTCGGGCTTGTAGGTGTGCGTGTGTTTAAGGTGGTTTTCAGAGGGCAGATGAGGAGGTGTTTCCATCGATTGAGCATCAGCTGGTCCGTAAATAAAATGCAGAAGAAATCATCGAGCCTCTTTGAGTGTTCCTCTGCTGGTAATGGGGTTAACTTCAGCGTCTGTGCTGTGCAATTTAAAGAAAGCGCCTGTTTAAACAAGCCACCCAAATGGTGGCTTCCATTAACCTACTTAATATATGGGCCAAGGCAGACTTGATGAGTGTTTTTGTCACTTTCGTTGCCTTTAATTCATGGTGCATATTAAAGTAGTGAGAATACTGTGCCAATTAATATAAACAGCTCTTATATAAACAATCCCTCCTACCTCCATCCCTCTCTCCTTGCCAGCGCATAGCAAAGCAACATAAAAATGTCCCCCCCCCAAAAAAAATCTTCAAAAGCCATAGAAATTTCTAATATGTGCGTATTTTTGTGGAGTCCTGTAGCTCAGTGGTTAGAGCACTCGCTTTGCAAGTGAGAGACCTAAGTTCAATTCCAGGCAGAGGGCGAAACCTTGGGCAAGTTTCCTTACTCCACACAGAGCCTAATAATAATCCCTCCAAAACCAAAACAATAATAAATTGGTCATTTTCAATCCACGACTGTTTGTGGGACATTGCTGTGCGCAATCGGCTGCCGCGTTCGCCCACAAATATACAGTCAATTCACTTTACAGTGTGTTCTGTGAAGCGCTTTGGGACTCCTCCCGACGTGAAAAGCGCTATATCGAATGCAAGGATTATTATTATTATTATTACTTGCAGTCGACTCTTACTCAGCTGGTTTTGTAGTCCAACCTGTCGACAGGCAGATTAGATGCTTTCAGTAGGAGCAATAAGGAGCCTTGCATTTGATACAGCGTCTTGTCATGTCGTCGAGACGTCTCAAAGCGCTTCACAGGACTTCTACTGTAAAGTGCATCGACTCTGTATTTTGTCAGCAGCCAATTTGCACACAGTACTGGTTCCGAAAACACACGTGAGACGAATGACTGATTTTAATTTGGGGAGTGCAGGGCCATTGTTGGCCTGGACATCCGACGAAGCTATTTTTGAATAGTGCCACGGGTTATTTAACATCAGTTTAACGTCCTCAGTTTACACCTCAGTTTAACGTCACTTCGAAACGACACACACTTAGAGACTGTCCTGTTCTTTGCAGTTTGATTTTCAGGTGACCCAGTGGAGTTTCGTGGGCGTGGACAGCTATCTCACAGAGCTTTTTATCTAATCTGAATACTGCTGAGGCTGTACGAGTCGTACAATATTTGTGGTGGAATTTTTCTGTGCTTTTTAAACGTTATTTTTGTTGCAGTTTGGGCCACTGAAGCTCATCCCTCAATTCTCTCCGCGTCTCAATGGAATTTGAATAAAGTCAATATTTTCAGCCTCTTACCTTCTTTAATACTTAATAATAATCCTTGCATTTGATATAGTGCCTTATCACATCTTCGAGACGTCTCAAAGCGCTTCACAGAATATACTGTAAAGTAAATTGACTGTATACTTTGTGGGTGAAACGCAGCAGCCAATTGCGCACAGTCGCGTCCCACAGACAGTCGTGGATTGAGTGACCAAATGTTTTTCATGGAATTATTACCCCCGGAAAAGCGATCCACCAATCAACTAACAACCAGGTTCCCACTTACTGCTCGGTAAACAGAGGCTTGTGGAGTAAGGAAACTTGCCCAATGTTTTGCCCTGCCTGGAAATGAGCCCAGGTCTCTCGCTTGCGAGGCGAGTGCTCTAACCCCTGAGCTACAGTGAGACATTAAACAGAGGTCCCGACTGCCTGTTCAGGTAGATGTTAAAGATCCCATGACTTTATTTGAAAAGAGTTTTACCCAGTGTCCTGGCCGACAATCCCCAGATTCAATCGGTCTTTCGCTTCTTGACCGTTTGTGGGACGTCGTTGTGCGTAAAATCGGCTGACGGGTTCAGTACACAGTCACTCGATTTTACTGTTCATTTCCGCGAAGCCCTTTAAACATTCCAACGATATTGTTCCAGACATTTAATTCTGCGTAAAACTCAAGTGTTTCACTCCCAAACGAGAATGGAGCAGCAGCGAGTGAAATATCTAACATTCCACAAACGTGTCCAGCGAGAGGAGCTGTGGCACAGGTCATATCCTTGCATTCCCTTGGCTGCAAGTCATTCACAACGTTGTCAGACTAAATGCTAGGAGCGAGATTTACGATCAGAAAGATTTGTGACCGAAAAAGGCTGTTACGCAAGTTATGGATTGCGTGTGTACAGAGGAAATTGGGCAGGAGGCCTCAATGATACAGACCAATGATTCAGTCATGGGTCTTCGGTGATAACTGTTACTTGGGTGACAGAGATGTTGAGCGGTGAAAGGGCAGGCATTGGAATTGAAAGATCTGCTGGGATCTGAAGCTGGCAGAATCTCCCACCTCGCTCGTGATCTTGTGAAGCGAGCTGAACAATCCTCTATAAATCTTCGCAGCCCTCCACCAGGCAAATGTGCCCGTTTAGTTTGCCGCTGTGACTCTTTTAACACTCCGCTGCCCAGTTTCTCGTTGTCAACCGCAGCATATTGTCCTTTTTTCAGTTTCATTTCTTGTGAAGTCCATGAAGTAAGTTGCTTTCACTTTTCTCTTCTGCTTGGCATCAGCTTTTTTTGATGAAGCAATGGTTCAGATGGAACTTGTTCACAGCGAGCGAAGATGCAAAGGGATTTTAGGCCAGAGGAGTAAAGAAATCCTCTCATATTTCCTTGAGCGCCCATAGGCGCAGATGTTGTATCCTAGAATCATAGAATCTTACAACGCAGAAGGAAGCTATTCGATCCCATCTTGCCTGTGCTGGCTCTTTGAAAGAGCTATCCAATTAGTTCTCACTCCCCCGCTCTTTCCCCACAGCCTTGCAACTTTTTTTCCTTTTTAAGTGTACATCCAATTCCCCTTTGAAAATTGTTATCGAATCTGCTTCCGCCACCCTTTCAGGCAGCGCGTTCCAGACCGTAACAACTCGCTGCGTAAAAAAAAAAAATTATTCTCCTCGTCTCCCCTCTGGTTCTTTTGCCAATTATCTTAAATCAGTGCCCTCTGGTTACCAACCCACCCAGCCACCGCCAGTGGAAACACTTTCTCCTTGTGTACTCTTATCAAAACTCCTCATAATTGCGAACACCTCTATTAAATCTCCCCTCATGCTTCGCTGGTGACTCCGGAGAAGTTTGTATGAATGTCTTTTCTTCACACCCCCCCCAATTGGCAAGAAAACAATTATCAGGTGAATCTCACAAGTGAGAGCTGGGAAACTATTATAATAATACTGGAACAAATAATCTTTGCATTTGACGTATAACGCCTTTCACATTGGAAGAACGTCTCGAAGCGGTTCACAGGATTGTACTGTAAAGTGTAGTGACCATATATTTTGTAGGGAGATGCAACAGCCAATTTGCACTCAGGAATCATCCCACTGAGAGCCATGACGCGAACGACCAATTTTTGGGGGGATACCTTGGAGATTGTCGGCCAGGACTTGCTCAAAGTGAATTATACATAGCATCGCATCAAGCAAGAGTAACCTTCTTGGAGAAAACTAAGGTCGTCGCAATCTCTGAACGGAGAAGAAAAGCTTTCTTTTGTTGCCCAAGTGCCCTGTCCATTCGTTGGGATTACCAGGATCGAAGATGGTCCGTTATCAATTACTGTATTTCAATCAACTTCCATCGGTGAAAAAACAAGGCAGCATTTTTTTTATTTGCTTTTAATCCGAGTAGGTGGAAAAAAAAAGCGATTCATATGCAAATGGAACAACCACCCACTGAGAGAAAGAGGCAGCAGCCTATTTAGCTGTAGGCCTCGAGAAGTAGCTCCACTGTCTCGTACGTACAAGTCCTGATTTCCAGTAGCAGCCGTGAAGTGCAACAGTCCGGCAAAACTCTGATCTTCAGCCTCGGGGGTCGTTAGATTCATTTACAAAATGACTCTTTTATAATCTTTCACATAAAGAAAATAATAATAACGGATCAAGCAGACGGAACCACTTCCATCAAGTAAGTCGTTGCAGATAGCTGTGTGTGCAGAGTGAAAATAGTCATGTCCATAGTATTAATTTGAAAACCCTTAGTCATTTTCTCTCTCTCTCTCTCTCTCTCTCTCTCTCTCTCTCTCTCTCTCTTTCCCCCCCCACTCACTCTTCTCCTTCCCTCCCCTCTTAATTGAGGTGTTTGCGTGTGCTTTCGGCACAGGAGTGAGCGGATGGGAATGATTTCAGGCTCTTCTC